AAAGTTTTAGTGAAGCTGAGCTCTAAGTCATACTCGCCATACCATAACCTGCTAGTTAACTAGGGTCTTAACTAGGTTCCAGCCTCCTCTACTTCTTAAAAATCAGGAGGTGGAATAGAATAATCTAATGAAATTAAAACACCATTATTTCTCCTAAACAGTTTGGAAGATTTTGCCATTCTGAGTGAGATCAATATTTCATGTCAAGAAGGTCAGTTATGCTGACTGGCAGCTCACTATTGCTTGGTTGGATTTATTAGGTCCATTTTATATTAAAATGAAGTAGATTATCTGTAAGAACCATTGGAATTCACCCTCTGGAGTCCAGTTCAAGCTTAGAAATATGCTTACTGAATAATTTGCAATTCTGATGTGTGTGGAGCCTAAAAGTCACTTTCCATAATGTGCAATCTGTCAAAGCACAACTGCTATAATTCCAGAGTCGAGTTGAAAACCCATCTGACTTGTAAAACATTAAATGCCACATGTAATATTTATTCTGTGTATGCTCATTGGCTTGGTATGTGAACAGAACATTATCCAGTCCAGATGGTCTTGCAGTTGTTCATTTTACATAGAGGCACAACAGTCAGTACCAGTGTTAAAGATCTTTAAAACATATGGTAGGTTGATCAACTTACAAAGATATGAGAAAAATTATGAATACTCAAAAAACAAGTAGGGAATTTAATCATGTGCAGCATTCTTCAGGTGCAGGTGATACTCGGAGCCCTTATCTGCGAGGAAGCTAGGCTGTGTTGAGCTATCTTTGGCCCTTATTGCAAGGAGAATTAAGTATAAAAGTAAGGACATTTTTCTACTGCTTTACAGGACATTGGTGAGACTGTACCAGGTATAGAGTGCTCATTTTTGGTCTTCTGAATTAAGTAGCATGTATTTGCATTAGAAGCAGATCAGAAGTTTTTATTAAGCTAATAGCTGGAAGGAAGGGGTTGTTGTCTGAGAAAAGGTTGAACAGGTTGGACTTACCCCATTAGAAGAGTATGATCTCATTGAAACATGCTATAATTCAGAGGGACTTAACAGGGTCAATGCTGGGAAGATGTTTTTTATTCTGGGGGAGTTTAGAACTCGGGGCACAATTTAGGAATAAGGCTCTCCCATTAAAGACAGAAATGAGAACAAACTTCTTTTCTCAGAGGCTTGTTGGACTTTGGAAGTCTCTTCCATTGAGACCAATGGAAGTTGGGTCATTGAGTACTTTCTCAGAATTCTTAAGAAAAAAAAGCTTTCATTGGCAGTTAGGGAAGTTAAGAATTCTGGGGATAGGTAGAAAAATGAAGTTTGCAGTGTGATGCATTTTTGCATGCTAGAAGCTGAAGCTATTAATACACAGAACCCTGTTCTATATAGGCAAAAGGAATTTGTACATACATTGTACATTTTTCATTGAAAAGATAAGGGATCATGGAGATTATCAAATTCTGATCAATCAGTCTTCCAGCCTGGTCTGACAAGTATTATTAACAGTTAACTGCTCTTGTTCCACTTCAGTACTAATGAGTACCCCATTCTCATGCTGTATAAATTTCTGTCTAATTTTTCATGACTGTTTCTTTCATCATAGTCCTAATGAGTGCAAGACAATAAAAAATTCAAATTCTTATCTCCTTTTTAGCAATGTTTCATTTCTGCAACTATCATGCAATTATTAAACGTAAGTCTATTAAAGAACCGAACACGCATTTTACATTTGGTGGAAAGCTTTCTGAACTTTGATAGTTCTAGGAAAAGGAAGTAAAATCTTGTTTCTAATAGAAAGTCCAAGTTCAGTCAATATTACAGAGAGTTATATAATAAAACAATCAATGTTTAAAACAACATTTTCTTAAATTCCCAAGTAGATGGTTACAAAATTTAGTGAGATATTTCTATTCCAGTTAAGTGAATAACGATTGTTGCAAAGCTAAAGTAGCAGTACCTTTACCTCGGAAAATGCTGGAGTGACTCCAACAAATCTAAATGTGTGTGATGTCAATGATTTTACCACTGAAATGCTGAACCAGCAGAAAACCCATGAGCACACGTATTAAATCAACATTCTTTGTGATGGTCAACATCCTTCAAGCTAACAGGAGACACACGTGGTGGTGACTTCCTTGTTACACAATTACCTCTTAAAATTAGAACATAGTTTCCTGGATTCCATGTCACAGGTGATTTAGTAAGATCCTTAGAAAGTAACATTGGCCATTGTAAAATTTGTTATCTGTGGCTTAATGCACTGATGAGTCCAAAAACAAGTTCCTGTTTATCAGAAAACTGCATTGTATTAAAGGATGCTGAATGATATGGCACAAGATGTTGGTGTATTTTTCTTTTGATAGGCACAGGATGTTCCACTGAATGAGCAGCAATTATGCCCAGGAATGCTTTTCCCTTTGCCCTGCTCTTAATTTTTTAATCCCTGAATTTTGGAAGAATCTTTGTCTTAAACTATTATAATCCCTTATTACAGTTGGATTCCTTTACAGTGAAAGTGCTCCTTACTCATTACATTGTTCTTATTTGAAATTTCACAGATTGGTTTCCGACCCACTGCTGTCAATTTCCTTAGTAAATCAGTATACTGTAATTTTATCTTAATGTTAGTTCATTTTAGTCATTATTCATCACTACATTAATATTAGGGACTCATATTCTACAAAACATCATAGTCTTATATTCAGAAATGTTGTTCCACATGTTGTATTTAGCAATTTTCTCTTCTAGTAACAACAATCCTTATGGTCTGTTTGAGAGAGATTTGCCAATTCAGCTGCCCTTAGAAATGAGTCAACAAAGGTCAGATTGCTTTCACTTAAAAAACATTGCTTTCTCCAATACAATCCTTCAATTTTCTCCCATCCTTCTTCTCTACTGAAGGCATTGATCTCTAATCTAGATTATCATTCCATTGGTAACATTCTAATACTTCAGCCAAAGTAGCTAATCTTAATATATTAATATAAATAGAAATTACTGGCAGGATATCCAACTGCGCTGGACAATAGACTTAAGACAGATCCTGT